TGGTGGAGTATATATATGTGGGTGGTAGAGATAGTTATGGTATGATGTGAATTGTGGAGGTGGTTATGGAGATGATTGTGGAGGTATTTTAGAAAGAGTTGACTAAGGATGATGATAGAGATAATTGTGGGGAGTGATTGGTAATAATATAGAGGGATTTATGGTAATTATGATAATTATGGTAATGGGTATTCAATTTGTCGCGTGACACCGTTCTGCAATGCTAGCTGATTACTCGACTAACTCTGCATGATCAGCCTATTGATTAGAGACAACCCTTTTTATGATGTGACAATCAAAGTACTGGCATAGACCTAAACTTAAGCTTTTGCCCCCCTGCCCTGGTCCATTTTGAGGGCCCAACGTGGGGGAGTTTATCCTCCATCAACATGGGTGAAGTATTAGTTGTTGAGTGAATTAATGAAAAAAGAACTTTAAGTAATTGTTAAAAGAGATAAAGACCGTATGTTTAAATAGTAATAAGAGTACAAAGTAATAGAAATAAGTGATATTTAGAAAAGCAATGAGTGTCAGTCATGACAAAAAATAATACAAAGTTATTTATGTTGTTTTAAAACTTGTTTACTAGTGCTTATTAGTGATAAAAATAAACAACATTTTTTTTTACAGAAAACAATAATAATTGAGTGGCATTTTAATGTGTGGGCTCGGCCTCAAACATTTTTTTCGAGTATATTTCATACACATTTCTTGATAACATGGAGTTTTCATATATAGTCCCAAATGTTAAGATAATACATTCGTAGACTTCGATATTTATGAGCTATTCCATGACGAGTCCTTTGGGTCTATTTGTGAAAAATAAAATTTGGGTCAAACGACTAAATATGAGGGTGTTTCTCTATGTTGGTGTTTCTTGTCTTATTATTGATAAGTCGTTAGTAACTCATAAGCTGCTTATAAACTAACTTTCTTTCACATAAGTAAATTAAGTTAAATGATAGATAAGTTATTTAGGAACATTTATAAATTTTGAGATTCAGTTTTGTGAATAATCTGGTCAAAATGAAGAATTGAAAAAACTAGCTAGATTAAAAATAAGTGGGTAAGATTTACTTATTTTTTTAATACATAAGCAGCTTATAAACAAAAAGAAACATGTCGTCAGGTGATTTATAAGTTAAAAACTGATTATAAATAGTTTTAATCAATTTATAATCATAGAGGAACACTATCATAGAATGATTCTCAACCATGGAAAGCCACAAATATAATATTTTAAAATGACACCAGTTCATTTAGGGTACTTACGGTGCTCCGTTTGTAAAAATAATGATGCCTACCTCCTAATCCTCTTCCAAAACCCCACCCTAGCTCCCCCTTCCGCCCCTTTCCCATCGTGGCAGTATATTGCTAGGCTGTACACTGCCAGGGTAGGTTGGGGAGCGGAAGGAAGGGCTGGGGTGGGGGCAAGGGTGGGGCTGGAGTAAGGAGTTTAGGGAAAGGAGTAGTAAAAGTAGGAATCGTCGTAAATAAAAATGGGGCACTATAGGTTTTTCAAACAAAGTGGTGTAAATAAACGATCCCGTATGAGAGATGTTATTTTAGACTTATTATTCTTTTTGTTAAAACCTACTCCCTCCGTCCTATAATGTTCTTCCCGGTTCTGTTTACTAAGTTTGACCGACTTTATTTTTAATTCAATTTATTTGATTGTAGGTGTAAAATTAAAAAATAAAATTTATATATTTAAAAACTACATCAAAAGTTCTACAAAACAAGTGGTGACAAGACTATATTATTTTATCAAATACTTAATAAAAATAGATAAAAAAAGTGATTAAAATTTGACCTTGTGAATAGTAAGTGAGAAGAACATTTCAGAGGGAGGGACTAAGTTATTAGGGTACATCCAAAATAACAAAACAAGCCAACTTAGGTGTTTTTCTCTACGTCTTTACCAACCTACCAACGAACCGTTTACTTCTAAACACCATCGTGAACAACTACGGAGTACAATGGCGATCGCCGCCGCCTCCTTCGCCAACACCAGGTTGAGCTCGACTTCTCCGCTGCGCCTTTTCTCAACTCCCATCAATCCCATTCATCTTCGCTGCGTCATTCCTACCAGAGCTATTACTGCTACTGCACGCCCAGTTAATGCCTTGTTTTCTCCGAAGTTGAACCGCCGCAAGTTTGTACAGCTTTGTTTTGCAGGCGGAGATGGTGGCGCTAGTGGCGGAAACTTTCCCGGCGGAGACGGCGGTGGTGGCAGAGGAGATGGTGACGACAAACATGATAACGAGAACAACGACGAAAACAACAATAAGAGGGAGGCATTGATGGCATTGGCGGAGGCTGGGAGGTCACTGGACAGCTTGCCTGGTGACCTGAAGGCGGCAATCGAGGATGGGAGGATTCCCGGTTCCATAGTGCTCAAATTCTTGGAGCTGGAGAAATCGGGTTTGCTGGCGTGGCTGCTTGGCTTTGCCGGGTTCAGGGAGCGCCTCCTGGCTGATGATCTCTTTCTTGCTAAAGTCGCCATGGAATGCGGCGTTGGGATCTTCACCAAAGTATTCAATTTTAGATCACGAAATTGGTTTTGGATACTTTATTTTTTTAAAAAAATGAATGCTAACTTCGCCTCTGAAAATGAACTTGTTCTGCACAATTTTATACTTATTCTGGTTCTCTAACAGCTATTTCTGTTTGCAGACTGCTGCGGAGTACGAACGCCGCAGAGAAAACTTCTTTAAAGAGCTGGAAATCGTTTTTGCAGATGTGGTATGGCATGATTATGATCCATACCCATTATTCCCATTTTTACATTGATGTTTACAAAACCGCATCACTTTTTTTGTTGATTGGATGTCTCAGCATTTTATGTAAATGAATGACTTTCTTTTGTTTATGTATTTGTAACTCCTCGTTGCTCCTTTTCAAATCTCAATGCAAATTAAAATTCAATCAGCCTATTTGCTCTTATATTGGATCATTTGCCTTTATGTCTAATATTGCTTTTTCTGGAATTGGCCTTGATCTTTTAGGACACGAGGAAACATTCATTTCATATGCTATCCTTATGAGAGGAGATTGGCACATTATTTTCAAGGTTACTCAGATTCTCATTATTATTTTTATGCATTGCTTGCATAGGTAATGGCTGTAATTGCGGATTTCATGCTCGTCTACCTTCCTGCTCCTACTGTTTCACTCCGACCGCCCATTGCTGTGAATGCTGGACGATTTGCTAAGTTCTTCTACAATTGTCCGGATAATGCATTTCAGGTCACTATTTTGTATACCATTTCTTCAGGTTTAACTGAAAAGGGTACAGATTCCCAAATTCAATAGTCAATAGTATAGCCCTCTCTTTTGACGGTTGCAGATTGAGGAACCAGCTTAACATACTAGTAGCAACCATGGCACATAGATAAAGTGTTTTTAGAAAAACTGGTTCTGTCATAGTACCCGTTTTAGAGAGATGGGCTAAAAGCCTAAAACATAGTTTCTGTTTCGAAATTGCTTCTAAAGCAGTTAACAGATAAAAAATCAGTATGTACTTTGGTTGCTGGTTCTTCTTTTAGTTTGTGTTTCAATTGATTTATGTGTCAAGATTATCCCACCATTGTGAATTTTCGTGCTGTTTACAAAAAAGTCATTCGCTTTTTGAAAATATACTTTTATATTTTGAAGGTTGTAGCCTAGGTATATGTATGGGGTAGAGATCTTTGGTTCTCTCTATCACTGAAAACCTGATGCCTGATGTTGGATATAAAAGAATAATTGACATCTCTCTCCCTCTGTATTTTTTGTAGGTTGCCCTGCCTGGAAAATCATTTTCATTTTTGCAAAGACTCGGTGCAATAGTGGTAAGAATTATATGTACTGAATTCTTGATTCAAGTTCCATCCTAACATGGAAGCATGATGTCTGTTTAGATGGAATCTAATGATATCTGTTCTAATTTTCAGCGGAATGGGACCAAGCTCTTTGCTGTCGGCACAACATCCTCTCTGGTAACTATAATGTTCATGTTTATTCTTTCAGGCTCCCTGTTATTAAATTTCTTCCTATGAACTCTATGAACTACTCGTACAACTTGTTCCATTCCCTTGTTCAAGTATGCCTGTTTAAATTTTGAGATTCATGGATTATATTGTTTGTACAACATTTAATGCTAATCATTTTTACAAACAATGGCCAACTACCTAGGGAATATTCATTTTTTCACTTCTGGCATCACTTTCATTTAGTGCTAATTTTATACTCTCTCCGTGCCCCCAAGAACTTCCCAGCTTCTTCATTGGGACATCCCAAAATAAGCCAGCATATCCTTTTAAGGAAAGATTAGTGGGACTCAAATTATTTCTCTCTCATATGCATATGTCACAAGTCTCACAACCACAAACATTATCATAAACTCTGTAAAACAATATTAAATGTGAAGTTATTTGGCAGACACGGGAACTCAGGAAGTATTTGTTTGTAAAGAGATTGTTGTTGTCAATTGGTTGATGGAAAAGTTAGTATGAAAGACGTCATTGACAAACAGCTCCAAATAATCTTTTTGTATTAGGCTCTGGACATGTTGTGCACACATCTTTCACTTTTGTTGCTAGGCGTAGCCAAGGCTGAGTTCCTCTTAGGATTCTCTTTTAAGGAAATAAGTGTTATTATTTCCCAAAAGAAAGACAATTCTTTGGAGACCTTGGACACATTCAACAACATTTTGAGGTTGCGTAACAGTTGAGATTTGAGAATCATTTGGATTTTGTAATTTTCCTCATAACATTGCTAGGTGGGTATGTGGACCCTGGATCGAGAAGCATCTGGTTATTAATCAAGTGAATGAACATGAATACTTGATTTGATGAATCAAGTGGCATATTCAAAAATTTAAAAAAAAATGTTTAGTTGCCAAGCAGGATACATGACGAGGTCTTTCTTCCACCACTTTCCCTCATTTTCATCTATTATGACAAGTTATTTTCCTTTGTTTGTTTGTAGGCAATTATTTATTGGTTTACAATGTTTATTTTACTGCAATGTTTGTTTGTTTGTTTATTTTCCTTTGTTATGCATGTTCAGTTGTGGCAATGTTTATTTTACTGCATTTTCCTAAACTTGTACTTAAAATCTGTTGTGTTGTTCTGTTCCTGGATCTTTGAGGACTCTAAGGAAGCAGAATCTCTTTTAAGCCTGAAGGGAGCATGGAATGAATGTTTCAGATGCCAAACTACACCACTCCACAAACAGTGTGCTGAGCATAGGGCATCTTCCCTTTAATATATTTTTTGTTATCTTAGGCGTGATTACTACCACGGCAATATTCAATTACTATATTTACGCAATGATTTTGTAAAAAAAAATGACTTGAGCTGTTTCTGATTTCAATGAATTTCATGATAAATACTAGTAATGGATTTGCCACTCTAATCTTCCCTTCTTTAGGGGGTAAATGATAGCAATTATCTCGTGCTTCCATTCAATAAAAGGACGGTCAGTTTTGACACCTAAGGTGAAACTAAAAATTTTATTTTATGTCCAGGTTGGGACAGTTGCCACAAATGCACTAATAAATACACGGAAGGCTGTTGATAAGTCCTCAGCAGAGGAGGTTGAGAATGTACCTGTACTGTCAACCAGTGTTGCCTATGGTGTCTATATGGCAGTGTCTAGCAACCTTCGGTATGTGAGATTAGAGAAAAATTGGCATATCGTTCACCTATACTCATCATAATACACATAACCTTCGGTATGTGAGATTTTTTTTTACATTTTCTCTGTTCTGCACACTTTTAAACATACCCTCAACAGGTACCAAGTTCTGGCCGGTGTTGTTGAACAACGGATTTTAGAGCCTTTGCTACACCAACATAAATTAATACTGAGTGCCCTTTGCTTTGCTGTCCGCACAGGGAACACATTCTTGGGTTCATTATTGTAAGAATTTCCAGCTCTTTGACCCCCCCTGCCCCCGAAACAAAAAAAAACAATCACAATAGCTATCCTTTCATTTTAATTTTTCTTTTGCGATGGACAGTTTTTTTTTAATATCAAGAGAACATCAAATGCCAAAATTTTCAATTATAGTGATTCCTAATAGCTTTAAAAAGTGTTTTATTTAGTTTAAGTGTGATTATCTCCCTTTAGTCCTGTTTATAGCTCATATTCCGTATCAAGGTGGTCCTAAATATAAGTCCCTTTATATTATGGGTGCATAAATTTTATCTACCACATTGCTTTTTTGAAAACTCTAAAACATATTCCTCGTGTAAACATTTAAGAGCATATTAGGAAAGTCATGAATATTTTAAACGCTTTCAATCATTTTTTTGGTCTGCGTGAAAGCAAAAATTGTGTTTAATAATAAGGGCCAGAACTGGAAGGAGTACATTATGGTAGTATCGTGTGATATTTAGCGAGTGAAAGAGAGTCAGTGCCCGTTTTCGAGTTCTCAATAAGAATTTGGTAACCATTATCGGCAAATATTTAGGTTCTGCCGATTTTACCAAAGGATTACTATGATGATTATGAAACATTGTGTTTCCTTATTACATTTTTCTGGTTGTGAAAGCTACATGGGTACTCATTATTATGAAATGCTAGAATGACAAAAGTGAAAAGCGCGCAGCTACCGATTGTGAAGCGTTTCACATGATAATTCTGCTTGTTAGTAACAGTTAATCACCATATAAACCGTTTTGTTTATTTACAGGTGGGTTGATTATGCGCGTCTGGTAGGAATCCAAAAGGCAGAAGAAGTCGAGGCACATAAGGTACATGGTTAATGTTAAGTTTCATTGGAGGTGGCTATATATGGATCCTCGATTAGTTGAGATTATAGACATTTATCTTCGATGTCGCAGATGAATATTCTTTGAGTTTCCTTTTGAGGGGCTTGTAAAGCCCCGTATGGTTGGCAGATATTTGAATCCCATTGGAAAAAAAATCACATAATATAGAATGATTGAATATTGAACTTATATGAAATATCTATTTCACTACTGCTTTATAAATAAATAACTATATGTATTATCCAATACTCAACCACTGGAAAGTACATATTCAATTAGCATCAGTGTTTTAGATATCATTTTAATATTGCATATTGACTTTGGAAACGATAAGTTAAATGCTGCAATTATATAGTAACTTTTTCTAAATGCCAAATCTAAACACCGAATCTTTTGTCAAATGGACCCTTAATCTACTAATGTTTTATTTTGTATATCTACAAGAATAAAAAAAATACTACACTCGTTATATATCTCGTTACCAGAAGAGACAACAAAACAAAACTAAGGTGATACTCTGTATGATTTCCCTCCAAATACGAGTATCAGGGGTATATCTTCTGTAACTAAGCGATCATCTCGTTCTCCATGCACGTCCTAATCTTTACCTCGGCAATGCTGCTTTCTGTCACTCGAGTGACGTCACAACATTCACATTTATCGGTCTAAAATGAAATCACACAATTACGTAAAATAAAGAGATAAATAATTTTGGGTAAAAAAATTAGAGTGAATTTCTAATATAGTCTTTCTTAATAAGACGTTTCCAAACTGGTCTTTAAAAAGCAATAATGATATTTCGTAAGTGAAATATTTTCCCTTGATATAGTAAACAACAATTAACTACCTGAGACTTTATAATTGAGAATTTTTTTATGGCAGTCTTTTGACAATTAAGGTGATATTATAATTATGAATTCAAAGGTGTGATTTGAGAAAACATTATATTAAAAGAAATCATTTTGAGAATTTTTCATAGTTTAGATAATGAAAAATATCAACAAAAAAAAAACACTCTATTATAAAGAAGATCATTTTAGAACTAAAATTTAGGAAGAAGAAGAAGAAATGAGTTAACCTGTGTCCGCTTGGAGGTGGGGGTGTAAACACGAACCCTGAAAACGTAATCAGCAGAGTGGTTGCCGCTAAACAAACAGGGCGGCAACCTGCGGCGCCACTGGCGCTTGTAGATGGTGACAATCTCCTGGCCATCGGGAGTCTCCTTAGCGGACTCCAAGAAGAAGACATGAGGAGTTTCGCAAGGGTGGTTCACAGGCGGGCGAACATCGAACATCCAGTGGGGAGGCCTCGGGTTCGCATGGGCCCATTCCTTGAACGTCGCAATCGGGTTCTGCAAGTAGCTGCGGGGTAGGATCCTCTCGTAGATGTGGGAGGTGTAGCCCCAGGAGATGGAGAAGGTCCAGTTGGTGGGGCGGTGGTGGCAGATGGTCTGCTGCAATATCCGAGTCTGGTCCAGACCAGCGGCCGTCATTAGATGGGCCGCTGACTGGAACCGGTCCATCAACGGGAATAGGGGCTCCACCATGTCCAAGTGGTGGAGGGATATGAGTGGGGAGTTGGGGTGGGAGGAGAGGAACCCAGATGCGTCTCCTCTCATGTCCATCTGCACCAAAACCCATGTGGAAGAAGAGTATTATACTCTCAAAATCTGCTGCTAAAACATACACATACAAACAACTTGAATTCCTCTTGTATTTCACTTTTTACATATCTTAAAGGACTAGACCAACTCTGTTTTTTTACTTAAGTCACGACTCTTGTTTCATAAAACTTTTGATATAATTTTAAAAAAACTACGGAGTAGTAAATTTTACGAAGTGCGGAGTATTTTAAATTTTGGCTAGCCAAGCATACTGAAATAATTTATTTTGGTAATGTTTTCGTATTAGTCAAATGTGTCTCATACCGTACTACGCTCACCCCTAGCTAGGGGGGTTTCGACTGAGAATGTCGGTATATGACCCCATTGTTTGTCGCAAAAAATGGTATGTGTGGCTAGGGAAGTTGAAGGATGGCGACCATATCTTTATTTTCAAATACAGCCGAAAGGACAGTGATGTCCCAAGAGCCGTGTGTAATAAACGCAGATTTGGGTCTTAGTTTGGTGTTAATGGTAAAGGGTCTAACTCTAGGAGCCACGGGTGTTGCCAAAGTCGAACATACAGATCGTGTCCGATGTGCCAAGAGATACTTGAGCGGAGGAGCGAGATGGATGTTCGGAAGCTATGCAAAATCAAGCTCGGGACTTAGTGAAGGAGACAATAGAAAAGAGAAGAGTTAGGATAATACTCGGATTTGATGAGTTGGGGCACCAGAGCACTTAGTCATGAAGGAGCTTCCACGCCAACTTTCCTAGGAGTATGCATTGTTATTATTGTGAAGATCACAGAATCCAAGTCCGCCATTGTGCTTGGGTGCACAAAGACGATCCCAACACCACCAATGTATCCCTTTGTCGTTTGTGTTCCCTTTTGATGACCAAATTTTTGAGAGGGTGTGGTGGAGGTCGTCGATAATGATTTCGGGGAAAAGGAAAAGCTGCATGACATACAGGGAGGACAAATTTGACTATTATTTCTTTACTCGCGCTCAAACTTATTTTGTTTGACACCGAGTTCTTTTAACAACTCTTCATCCATAATACCTCTTTGCAAGCTTCGATTGCAGCTGTAAACTCTGCTTCTATGGGAGATAGTGAAACACAATTTTATAATTTTGACTGCCATCAGACAGTTCTCCAGAAAAATCTAATCAGATAACCTAATGTAGACTTTCTAGAGCTGGCATTAGGGGTGAGCGTCGGGTCGGTTCGGCCGGTTTTGGGTCAAAACCGAACTAACCGAATTATTTTTTATTATCTAAAAACCGACCGAAACCGACCGAGATAATTGGGTAACCGAAAAAAACCGAAACCGTTTTAACCGAACGGTTTCGGTCGGCTATTAAAAACCGAACTACATATACGGAATAATTTGTTAATAATCAACCATAATTTATAAATTTATCTCTAAAAATTAAAAAACAACATAATCTCATAAACAAATAAAAGAATTGGTTTCTGATTTTGCTATTAATATTTTTAATCGGCCCTATAGACTCATCCGGCCTTCTAAAGTAAGAAAAGATAATTGGAAGCATAATAATCAAATAATTAATAGAGGAAAAACTTTGAGATGACGATGGGGATTGGAGAGTACATACCGGAACCGTCGTCGTCTTGGCACGACAACGGCAACAGCAACGCTGGACGATGGGTCAATGATGCTGACTGGCGAGTGGCGAGGCAGAGGCGCAGAGCCGCAGAAAAGTAAAAACGGAGAAGTGAGAATGACGATAATGACGAGGGAGATAGGGGTTTTCCATTTTCTAAGTTTTTGGGCTTGGGTTGCTTAGGTTTGGATGTTTAATTTGGATTGGGTATTTGCCATTTTAGTTTTGTTGTTTTGGGCTGGGTAATAGTTCGGTTATTCGGTCGGGTTTAATTATTTAAGCCCAAACCCGAAAACCGACCGAATAACCGAATCTTCAGAAATCTACTAACCGAAACCGAAACCGAAATCGAAAATTTCGGGCGGTTCGGTTTTTTACCTCGGTTACACGGTCGGTTCGGATAATATGCTCACTCCTAGCTGGCATCCCCAGAAAAGTGTATATCCGTGTATCCAACCAGCACATGTTCTGCCTCTCCAAAACATAAACATATTTTGGATGTACCTCAAAGATACTTGAGAATCCATTTGAGAGTAGGCCAATGTTCCTTTCTAGATTTGAAAAGAAACGACTCATTACTCGAACTGAATAGGCGATATCTTGTTGTGTACATACCATGGCATACATCAAACATCCAACCGTTGAAGCATATGGTAGTGTAACCATCTCTTCGTTCTCTTTGCTAGTAAAAGGGCACATATGGGGACTGAATCTAAAATGATTAGCAAGAGGACAACAAATTGCTTTAGCCTTGTCCATGTTGAATCTCTCTAGTACCTTTTTTATGTACTTCTCTGGAGATATCCATACCTTATTGAAATTTGAACCTGTACCTTTAATAATACTCATGCAAAGAATCTACTTTGTTGATCCCAACTTCCCAAGTCTTTCATCGGAAAAGTCTTACTCAGCTCCTTTTAAAAGCTGCTGATTTTTGAAATATTCTTTCCAATGATGAGCATGTCATCTACATGGAGTAAAAGGATCACAAAATCATCTTCAAAATATTTCTTGATCGATAAACACACATCAATTTGTTGTGATCTTCTTGAAGCCTTGCTTTCTTATAATAGACCCAAACTTGTGATACCACTCGGTTCCTTTTTTAATATTAAAGAGTATCCAACAATGGAACTCGAAGAGAAAACGAATCGGTATATAAGTTCTCGAGTTGAATTAAATAATCAATTCGATTCAATTATTTAATATTGTTCAGCCCAAGTATATCCTGACCCAATTCAGTGACCCTTACTTAATCCTAACTTCTATCATGGAACCAAAGTCAGTTTTAACGCACTTCATTTGTTAGCGTGTCTATGTAAAAGTTTATTTTCAGCAACCCATTTGTCTTTAGCCCAGTTGTACATATGGAAAACGACTTGTAGTCCATATAACTAGATTATTCGTTAAAAATGACCTGATTGTCCACTTGAGGGATCAGAAGTGCTAAAATGTATCCCACATCAGAACTTGAAAAGAAAAAAATTGGTATATAAGCTCTTAGTTGAATTAAGTAATTGATTACATTCAATCCTTTAATGTGATTCAACTAAAATGTCTTCTAGTACAATTCAGTGACCGCACAAAGTTGAGATTTTTCTGGATAATTTGTTATTATTATTATTATGATTATTCTTGTTGTTATTGTTGTTGTCGTTGTCGTCTAATATGCGCCGAAGCTGAGTCTTGCGGAGGCATGAGGAAGTTAGGACACTAGCTAGAAAACAAAAAGACTCAGAAGGGTGCAGTTCGAATACCAACTTTGACCGGAATCAAATTTTGGGTCAGAAGTCCACTTTTTAGGGCAAAATCGTCCATTTAACATCAACGAGGTGAATGTAGTCAAAATAAGAGTTGATATAGCAAAACCATTTACTAAAATACCTTAATGAAATGGAGTGAAGTATATTAAATGAGATGAGTGATGTGTGAAAGACAAAGTTAGCGAGGTTAATTATGAAATTTAAAATGCTAAAAACATAATGAGAAAAAATCTTTCCGGGACAAACAAGAAGGGTATTGGGAGGGAGTAATAATTATTGTTTGAATCTTTCTTAACAATGTTGAACTTGGTTCAATAAATTTCAACAGAATTTATTAAATTGCACAGGCCTACAATCACAATAATTGGGCTGCCTGATCAGGTGGGAGGTTGCAACTGCTCACGGCGGTCATTAAAAAAAAAGGGAGGTGCCTTAAAACTGAGAAAGACATGGAAGGAAATTAGTTCAAATTAAACCAAGTAGTGGTTGAATTTCTTATTGAAGAACTTACTTATGATACTTATTATCATCGACCGGAGGTCATTTTTTTCTTTAATTAGTTTATTCTTTGCCTGGTGTTAGCTGATTTTTGTTTCGTGTTGAGATGGAGGCGTGACAGGATATATATATAAAGAAGAAGTGTGAGTGAGAATTATATGTTATAAATAATCATTTAACTACTTATTACTTTACATTAATGTTCATTTACTAATAAACTACTTTAGATATATACTACTCCATCAACTTATATTCTTAGAATTTCTAAGTTGAATGTTGGAAAGAGCTGGAAGAACTTGGAAATATCGCAATCACTTACTTCCTCCGTTCCTTTAAACCCTTTCACTTTTGACTTTTGACAAAAATAAGGAAAGTATAATTTTGATTGACTTTCCAATTTTGTCCCTGATGTGATGGATAAAAGTAAGATGTGATAGTTTGGTTATTAGAGAAAAAGTATGATGTGATAGGTAGGGTATGAAAAGGTAAGGGTAAAAGTGGTTTTTTAATAAAAAGTGAAAGTGTTTTAAGGAATTCAAAAAAAAACGAAAGGGAAGAGTTTTGTGGAACGGAGGGAGTAGAAAATATTGGAAGATTTAAAGTGTTAAAAAAATCACTCGATTAAATGATCACTCAAATAAATATAAAGGAGAACTCTAATTTTGGACAAAAAATATTCATCATTGTCCTTATTTGAAGTGATATGTTATAAATTTGGATATAATATTTTATTATATATTTGTCCTTATTCGTTGGAAGAAACTGAAGAGGTTGGAAGGAACTAGGACGAGTTGGAAAAAAACTAGAAAAAGTTAGAAAAAATTGAAAGTTAATTTTTTCTAATCCAAAAGAACACTTAACTAATGAACTTAATGAAGCTATATTTTAGTTATATTTTGGGAAAAATTTCACTTTTAGAGAGTTTGTATTGACGCCACAAGTTCCAATCTAAGAGCTCAATTTTATATGAGAAAGAATTGATTGCTAACTTCCTCCCTCACATTAAAGATATTCTAGAATTGAGTTCACAAGATTTAAAAAATGTTAAAAAGGAAAAGAGAAATTAAAGAGTAATACTAATTATACTGCTTGCGTCTCAAAAACTTCATCCCATTTCCTTTTTTCTTGTTCCACAAAATCGTTCCTTTTTCTATTAAAAAATCATTTTGGTTCCTACTAATTCTTAATCTATCTATCAGCTCATACCGTTTTACTAATAATCTACCAATCACACCTTATTTTTACCTATCATAATAAACTTATTTTTAGGACGAAGGAAATATTATTTTGGGATGGATGTAAAATTTAGGGGTGGGTTCGGTTTTTGCGGTTCGGTTTTTACCCAAAACCAAAGACAAAACGGAAGGTAAGTTGGCGGTTCGGTTTTACATACAAAATATGTAAACCGTTGGTTATTCAGTTCGGTTTTATGCGGTTTTTATTTTGGTTTTTTTTGGTTTTTTCGGTTTATAAAAGTAAATATTTATAAGCATTAAAAATTGTATAAATACTAACTCGATGAAGCAATAACAATATGTAAGTTTGGGTTTGGTTTTTTTACTTGATTTTTACACACAAAAAAAGCCGAGCGGAAGGTTAGTGTTCTCATTGGTTCAATTTTATATACAAAATATGTGTCAAATGTCTAACAAACATCTAGAAGATTATAAATAATCTTAAAGATATCGTATGTAAAATCAATTGCAGAGAATTTGGATTTTTTTATATAATACTTTCATTTTCATTATACATCAAAGTTTCTTTTATTTAAATATGTTAACTACTCATTTTAATTTTTAATGTTATATAATTCTATATTAGGATTAGTTATTGGTGTTTATATTTTTAGATTTTTTAAAGTTTATAATATGGTTAAAATGTTTAATTAATAGTTAAGAAAAAAACTTTAATTGACTAGTAATTTATTTGCATTTTTGTTTATATGATTTTTATACATATCACATATACTCGTATAAATAAAATGAAGCATATAAATAAGTTCGGTTTATTCGGTTCGGTTCGGTTTTTCAAAGTAAAAACCAAAACGGAACCAAACGATAACTGTTCGGTTCGGTTTTTTTACATTCGGTTTCGGTTTTTTCGGTTCGGTTTTTTTTCTAGCTCGTTTCGATCGATTTCGGTTCGGTTTTTGGTTTTCGGTTTTCCCGACCCAGCCCTAGTAAAATTAACTCATCTTAAAATTTACTCCCTCCCTGTCACAAAATTCTTCCGCCTTAATTTTTTGTGCACCCCATTAAACACTTATACTTCCAACTAAAATGTCTAAAATATATCTCATTATGTAGTTTATTGCCCGTAGAAGTTGTTTTGAGAGTATTATAAACATTTTAGGTGGGGTAGAAGTAGAGAAGAGCATGAAGACTGAATCCGAAAAGATTGACCGAGATTGACTAGGATTTGGACTTGAAAAATTGGGACCGAAGTAGTCCTTGAGACTAGTCTAGTCCAAGACCAGTAGTCTCAAATGTTCCTTAATATGTATAGAGGACTATGACTAGTCTAAGACTAGTAAAAGACATGTTAAAGACCTGAACCGGTCCGAGACTAGTAAAAGATTGGCCTAAAGACTAGGACTAGTCCAAAAGGCTAGTCCTCTAGAGTCTAATTATATTACTTGTAAATCTTGACCAAATATGTTGGGACTAGAGACCGGACGAGATTGGACTACGGACCGGACTAGATATTGACTATTGGTTTTATTTGGTCTTTGATTTTGATAAGAAGACCGGACTAGTTAGGACCGGGTTTTTAAAAAGACTAGCCTGGTCCAGTCCTTTATTATATTGTAGCAGTCTTTTCCAAACACCGATCTAGTCTGACCGCATCGGTTTTTTTGCTCATCTAGATAGAAGTATTTTATGGGGAATGCAAAAGATTAGGGCTTTTGTGAAAAGGGAGTATATTTTTGTCTTGTGTAAAATAACTTATCGTGTCTCTCCAACATGCAATGGTTGTTTAATTTATCTGGGTAAACCACTAATATCTAGGTTTACATGGGTGTATAAACATAAAAATTACCTGATGAATGCCGGGAATGGGGGAGAGGTTGGTTCCAAGATCGGCAATGCAAGCCATGGTGGTAGAATCAGCAGCCCTCATCTGGTTGTATCTCTTAAGACAGGATTTCATAGAGTGTGCGAGTGCCTTGGCCAAAGGGTAACTCAGGAAGAAGCCAGCGCCACCAAATCCTTGGTTAAACGAGTACCAAAAGTTGGACAAAATGAACTCCGAGTGCCCCCCGAAATAATAGTACTTTCTGTGGTCATACCTCGCGAGTAGCTCCACCATGTTGTCCAGCATGAAAATCGAATCGTCGTCCCCCATCACCACCCACCTGATCACCCTCTCGTCGTCGCCGCCGTCCCCGTTGCAGTCCCTGAACACCTCCATGATCCCGTGCACCAGCCTCGCCACTGTCGCGTCCACGTGCCCCGTCTCCCCCACCACCTTGGTGATGTTGTCTGACACCCTGTATGGCGGGGACCACGGGGACCACGGGAGAAGCTCTTCCGTGGGCTCCGTGTCCAGGTAGATGAACCCTCGGGTCACGTTCGGCCGCCACCACGTCTCGATGTACGCCTTGCGGTGATGCCACGCCTTCTCGGACCCGACCAGCCCGAAGATCAGGTGGCTGAGGTTGGTTTTGGACTCGGAGGCGGTGGCCGGAGGAGGGCCGCCGCCGCCGCCGTCGTCCGGTTTTGGGGACGACCCTGGCGGATCACCGGGCGACGTTGTCGACGCTGGCATCGCGAGCCTCGATGAAGATATCATTATCTCCGGCGACGGCGGGCACGGCGGGATGTTGGGGAGGAGGATGATTCCCAGGTAGACGACCACACCGGAGATTAACAGCAGTTTGCTGAGGCCGGCGAGCAGAGAAGTGGTGTCGATAAAGGAGAACCAGGAACGAGAGGATGATGAGGATGACATGATATAATAATGCCCGCCGGATGCAAATTATAAAAATAATTGATTAACACTGGTTATTAACTATATATTCTCTTCTGGAAGGAAACATTGATAACAGTGAGGAAATTTTCAAACCATCAATTGTGCAAGATAAATTACGTTGATGCCGCATGAAAGATCGTTGGATACACAGATGGCGGATGAACTTTTTGTAGGTGAAAACTGATAAAATAAATCTAGAATGGATCCCGATGTATTAAAAAAAAGATTGGTTTATTTCCCAAGAAGAGAAATTTTGTATACATGCAGACCCCGGATTGGTTCGACAGAAAATGACCTTAATCGTGAGAAATTAGAATGATTCTTTTTTTTGTTCCCCATGATATGTATTTAATTCTTGGCAATGACTATAAATATAAATTTGACTTATTTACAAAAAAAAAAAAAGCGACCCTGATATTCCACTTTTTTCATATTCTTTGGGTAAATGTGGTGAGAATATCACCGACATATTATTTGTTGAGTTCAAAGTTTTAGAGTAAAAGTTATAAATAAAATAGATGTTGCAATACAATAATTAAATGGAGAATAAAATTTGTACATAATATTGATTTTTTAAAATGATCCTTTCTAATTGGGTGTTTTCTCAAATTGGTTGATTTTCGAAATAAAACTCATTAAATATGGAAACATAATTTTTAAATTTTGTTGGATGAGAGTATAATAAATAATACTATAAATATATTATTAAAAATTTTAAGGTAACATTTTAGAATGTTTACAATTTTTTAGAAGAATATCATGCAAATAAAATATTTAACAAAAATTATTTATTTACTCCCCCATTTCTGAAATAATTAAGGCTCTTGTTTTGATTTATAATGCCTGAGGATTTTTTTAAATAAGAACTATAACTAAAAATTGGTCTAAAATTTTAAAAAAATATATACTAAAAATGTACATAAATAGTTTTATAAAACAAGTGATGACATAACCAATTTTAAAATGGTTAAATATGTTTTTAGTCCTAGTAAAATAAGAGACTTTTGTTTCTAGTCCCTGTAAAAATGGTCAGTCGGAAAGGAATTGAGGCTAACCCGGAGAAGGTTAGAGCCATTATGGAGATTGAGCCGCCAAAAACAACTAAGGAAGTACATCGTTTGACGGGAAGGCTAGCCGCCCTTAATCGATTCCTGTCAAAGTTGGCAAGAAGGCGCATCCCTTCTTCGTAGAGATAAAGAAGAGGGCCACTTGCGAGTGAACACAGAAATGTCGGCAAGCGTTTGAGGAGTTGGAGATATACCTTGCCAATCCATAGGTGCTATCCAAACAAGAGCCCAGGGATGTGTTGTCCCTGTTTTTGGCGATTTCTGATTGAGTGGTAAGCACTGTTACAATACAGGAAGAGGGAAGAGCTCAACACCCAGTCTATTATGTTAGCAAAATGCTAAGCGCGGTGCAGGGTTGAGGTACTCTCGACTAGAGAAAGCTATATATGTTGGCGGTATACTGGACGGTGAAGCGATTGACAGCGTATTTTTATGCCCATCAAGTTAATGTCTCGACCAATGAGTCGTAGGCATCATTATCCCGGAGTCCAGCCGCCTTGGCCAAAATGATTCTCAGAGTTAACCCGTTAATAAAAAAATATGGTAAGGATTGCAATTTTTGCAATTTTACTGAACCAATCTTCTATTATTAATTTTACGTGTTGTTTAAAATTAGTCTATTTTTACGGAGTTAACTGGCCATTAATATCCAATTATTCGGGACAAATTTTAAACGGAGCGTAGCGTAACGGACTTGTTAATGACTAATTAATCACCATTAACACGCCATTAGTGTGCCGTGCCACAAATTCCATGGATTTAATAGTGTATAAGTTACATTGTTTAAAATGGCTTGGTTATAAAAATCAAAGTGGCTCTCCATTTCTTGGGTGTGCTTTATGTGTGAGAAAGAAAAGGAAAAGAAAGGGAAAACTTTCTTGTTTATTTTTTAGAGAGAGCTCTTGATCTTCCGGCCGAATTTCTGGCCATCCCCTTCAAAAACAATTTTGGTCGCCAACGTTCCTACGTTGTTCTTGTTCGTTGGTGTGTGGTTGGTCCGTACAATCTCCACGCACAATAAGGTTTTATCCTGGGAGAAGAGTGCCCACGTTTTTTCAGTACGGTAGGCGGGCACTACTACCTCAAGGACAGCTCCGGCGACTACGGTGTCTTTCCACGGTGTTTTATTTTGCAGGTTCAGTTCATAAAGACCTCGTTGCATTCTACCCTAGGCCATAATGTCCTCACTGGTGGTCCGGTTCAAGCCATAATGTCCTCGCCACTACCCAGTGACCTCGCTGCCTCACACAGTGTCTTCGTCCCAGACTTTCTGCTTTTGTCCATTGTATAATGTCCTCCATGTCCAGTGCATATTGTCCTCATACAACAAGGCTTTTTGAAGATATAGAAATTTATTTTCAACTTTGTTTATTTTCTAATATTCTGAATAAGTTATAAATTCAGAATTTTATTTATTTTTATTTTCCGGGGCTGTTCATCTTCCCCGCCCGTTGTAATCCGTACGAGAATTCTAACAGGCTACTATTGAAGAGTTGCGTGTGCTCAACTTGAAGAAAGAGAGTGTTATCTCGGTGGTGGCAACCCTCCAGAATCGTTGGATCGACTGGACAAATATATAGAGGATGGTATAGCCCCTGAAGATCCTTAGGAGGCGAAGTTGCTACCACTAAATCGAAGAGATCCTTGAAAATAATGTAAACGAAGTTTACTACCACTAAAACTCTTTCGTCAATTATGTAAACGAATTCAAAATAAGGAAACATTCGAATGTATGAAATCATACATTCAAATGTTTTTTTTTTTGCACAGAAATACTATCTTTTATATCACTCCAATCAAACATGTTACAAACAATAATCAAAAACCTTTCTAGTCTACTACTTTTTGCACCATAACAGTTTGTAACGTAAATTTAATACTAGCTAACATCTCTTCTTCCTTCATTTCTTTTTGATGAGTTTTAGCATTTCGGGTTTGCCATACAATATAACAGACAGCCCTCCAAGCTGCCATGGCTATCTCTCTTCGCCTTGTCCCCTGCATCTTCATTATTTTCTCACCAAATTCTTTAAGATTTGCACCTTCAATCTTGTAGTTCAGCCAACCAAACACCTGTGTGTAAACTCTTTGTGTGACATCACACTTATAAAAGAGATGTTCTATGTTTTCTTCTCCCTTATCACATAATATACAACTAGTGTCAATGTTCATGTACTTTTTCAACCTCTCTTTTGTTTGGATTCTTCCCTTCATTATCAGCCAGAAAATAAATCTATGCTTTGGGACCCCTTGTTTAAACCAAACCCATTTATGCCAATATGGGGGTTCATGTTTACCCATCAGCCAATTATATCCCTTCCTTGTGTCAAATTTTTCATTTATGTCCCATTCAGCAAACTCCTGTCTCACTTTGATCATCCTTCTCCAGTAGTGGCAGCTGTTTGGAGTAGGGATGTAGTCCCAAAAGTTGGTGTTTTTCAGGTATCTAGAATGTATCCAACGTACCCACAAGACCTCCTTTTCATGGGCAATGTCCCAATTCAGCTTCATAATGTTCGCCTTGTTCTAAATGATCACATTTTTCAGCCCCAGCCCCCCTGCCTTCTTTGGCATACACACATCCTCCCATATGACGGGTGGGGCTTTCTTGTATTCTGCTGTACCACCCCACAAGAAGTTTCTGCACATGTTACTTATCTTTTTCAGCACTTCTTTAGGAAGGATAAAGATCCTTGACCAGAATGAGATAATTCCCATGAGTACTGAGTTGATCAAGCTAACTCTCCCAGCATAAGAAATGTTTTTGGACCTCCAACATGTTATGTTAGCAGCCATTTTCTCCACTAATTTATCACAGTCCCTGCTTGTAATTCTTGATGCTGTAATCGGACTTCCTAAATAAGTGAAAGGCAACCTCCCCTTAGGCATATTTGTGATCTCTAGTAAGGTCCTATGAATTTCCTCTTTGCATCCTCCAAACACCACTTGTGATTTTTCCTTGTTTACTCTTAGGCCAGTGCTTCTCTTGAATTTATCTAATGTATCCATAATGCTTTGGATAGAACTGGAATCGGCTTTGCTTGCAATGATCAGATCATCGGCAAATATCAAATTAATCACTTGAGGAGATGCACACATAGGGTGATATCTAAATCCCCTTTCCTTAGCTTGGTGATGGAGTAGCGTGGTAAGATATTCCATGACCAAAGTAAAGAGAAGAGGGGAAAGTGGGTCTCCCTGCCTCAGTCCTTTCTCCCCCTGAAAAAAACCATGATTCTCTCCATTGACCATCAGTGTGTAACTTGGTGTTGTAATGCAAAATAAAACCCATTTCATGAACTTATCAGGGAAGTTCATCTTAACCATAATCTGCTCAACTGCTTGCCAACTAATAGAATCATAAGCTTTTTGAATGTCAAGCTTTAATAGACATCTTGGAGAAATGTTCTTTCTATTGTAACCCCTCGTTAATTCTTGGCACATTAACACATTATGGAGTAATTCTCTCCCCTTGACAAAAGCCCCCTGGTTCAGTTAATGACCCCAGGCAGTATCTTTTTCAGTCTGCTGCTCAGGATTTTAGAGATGACCTTATACACCACATTGCAGCATGCAATAGGTCTATAATCTGCTGGGTATTTAGGGTTATCCTTCTTAGGTATGACAGTAATGCTAGTAGCATTCACTTGTTTCAAAGTTTTATTAGCGTGAAAAAACTCCATAACAGCCTCCGTGACTAATCCCCCCACTTGTCCCCATTGGGTTTTGAAAAAGCCACTGTTGTACCCATCTGGA